GCTTTTCCTCTAGTTCCCTCCTCTCTCTTTTGGATGACAGAATCCTCAGCTAGGTTGGTTAGGAATCTGTTTGGTCTCCCACTTTTGCAGAGTTTATCTCCCAATTGATATCAGGGTAGTTAAGGTCTCCCATTACTATTGTGGTATGTTTCTTACATACATTTATTAATTGACTAGCAAAAAGTCCATTTATTTCTTCTGTTTGGTTGGGTGACCTAGAGTATACACCTGTAACAATGTCATTTTCCCCCTTTTATATAGACCCATGTGGATTCTAGTGGGGTTTCATCTTTGGTTTTGTGCATTTCTGTAGAGATATAGTAATCTTTTATATATAATGCAACTCCACCTCCACTTTTGTTAGGTCTGTTTCTTTTGAATAAGTTCTATCCTTCTGTCAGTACATTTGAATCATTAATTTCAGCAAAAGCAACAATATTATATCTGCCTTTATTTACTAGTACCTCAAGTTCATCCTGTTTGTTCCCTAAACATGAGCATTGAATCCTTTATGAGTCTTGGGTATGCTTCTTTTATCTCCTACTTCATAACTTGGTTTTCCATCCATCCTTCCCATCACTCTCTATTTCATTATGTGATTGTTGGGATTTATGTCTGGAATTATGTCCCAAAGGTCCTAAAGATTGCCCTAGGGAGTCTAAAGATTGATCACACTTCCATCCCATTTTTAGTTTAAAGCCCTCCTGATAAGTTGAGCCATTTATTTTCCAAAAACATGCTTCCCAGTTTTTCTGCGAATAATAACAAACCAAACCAACATGAATAACCTATTTTCAAATTAACAATGAAAATCTTGAAGTGGTAAAGAGTAGATTCAAAAAGGCAGACAGTTCATCTGTACAAGTAGTCCTCATCTTGTGACCACAATTGAGCCCAAAATTTCCATTGCTAAGCAAAGCAGTTATTAAGTGAGTTTTACCCAATTTTATAACCTTTTTTGCCACTGTATTTTAGCAAATCACTGCAGTCATTATGTGAATCATCTATTCATTAAGCAAATGTGACTTCTCTCATTGATTTTGCTTTTCAGAAGCCAGCTGGGAAGATTAAAAATGGTGATGACATGACTCTGGGACAGTGCAGCTGTGATAAACATATGCCGGTTGCCACGTTTTGATCACATGACAGCATCACATTGATGCTGCAATGGTCATAGTATGAAAAACATTCATAATGTCTGCAGTGATTTGCAATTTTGTATAGCGAATCACTGCAGACATTATGTGAATCATTTACTCATCAAGCAAATGTGGTTTCTCTCATTGATTTTGCTTTTCAGAAGCCAACTGGGAAGGTTACAAATGGTGATGACATGACTCTGGGACAGTGCAGCTGTGATAAACATATGCCAGTTGCCAAGTTTTGATCACATGACCATAGGGATGCTGCAATGGTCATAGTATGAAAAACTTTCATAACTCACTTTTTCACTGCTATTTAATTTTGAAAGATCAATAAACAAATGGTTATAAAGACTACCTGTACTGAAACCAGCAATGAAAGGTTTGAAAAACATACGGATGCTGGGCTGTTTCCACCTCATTTTTAGTTTAAAGTCTCCTGATTTATTTTCCAAAAACATGCTTCCCAATTTTTCTGTGATGCAGCCAATCCCTTGCTTAAAGCCAGTTAAAAATAATAAAAAAAAATTAGCCTACAAAATACTTCATATTCAAGGTTACCATACAGGGAAAGGAATTCAGAAAACATATATTTAATACAAATGGGCTACTTTACAGAATATATCCAAAATCTAGGAGCCATCATTCCTGAAAAAATAAAATTTTGGAAAATTGTGGCAATTTCTGTGAGTTTGCAACACAACTTCCTGACATTTTGAGGTATGAAGGAGAAACTGTGCAAAATGTTTCTTGAAATGTTTGTGTGTGAGAGAGAAAGAGAAAGATATTACATCACCTAAAAATGTATTCTGTTTTTACTGTATTTTCACAATAAATTTTCAATCTTCCTATCATGATTTCCATCTCTCCAAAATATGACTGGGAACAACTCTCAATCAGCAAAATTTTGGACATTCAAAATAATACACAGCAAATGGGCTGAAAAGCATTTGTAGGGATCACTTACAGCAGGGGTTTCCAATTGGGGGTGTGAGATGATATTCCAGGGGGTGCAAAAACTTGGCTTTAGAAGTTTCAAAATTATAATATATATGCATAATTCATTTTGAACTTTTGTAAGGGATGCGAAAATATATCAGAAGTGTTCTAGGGGTGTGGGGTATAGAAAAGGTTAGGAACCACGGACTTACAGTATGTGAAAAATAAAAGAATAATGCTGCATGTCACTATCCTTTTGTTATTTAAACAAGAATTCAAAACATCACATTTTCTTTTTTTTAGAAAATTTTATTGATTTTCTAGTTTTATATTTAAAAAGCAACAAAAAAGCTGAGTTGGTCAATAATTCAATAACATGCAAATATCTTTAGTATAGATCTCAAACTATTACATTAAATGTTTCCTCTCTTTGATATTTACTGTCTCATATTTAAATTAATACAATTCTTATTATATCAATTAAATAAAAATAACTTTCTTACATTTATCAATGATTTTTAGTTTATATATATCCTAGTTGTTTTAACATTCAATCTTTTTAGACAATCCTGGTTAGTTTTTCCCAATTTTTAGTTTCCCATTAATATTTAAATTTAACATTTAATATTTATAATTTTCAAGTTTTAAATAACCCCAGTTATTTATCACAATTCATCACAAGATCTAATGTTCAGGATACACATCTTATCTATTTGAATTCTCACCATCTTACATCAACAAATTAATAATACAATATAATAGTCATATTTTTTGGTAATTTCCAAATATCTTAAATTTAGTAACCAAAATTTCTCTTATTTCAACATTTAATACTTCCTCTCTTTTTCTCTTAATATCTACTATCCCATATTTAAGCTAATAATTTTATTATTACCGCTAAGTAAAACATATTTATTACATTCATTGATAAATTTTAGCTTATATATATATCTTAATTACCTTTACATTTAATCTTTATAAGCAGATCAATGTTCAAATCTAACTGTTAATATTTATACTTCTAAGTTTTAAATGACCAAAGTTTTCTTCATCTCAACTCATAACAATATATAGTATTCAAAGTACACATCTTATCTATTTGAGTATATTCTATTTTAATTCTCATGAAGAAGTCAAAACCCCAATTTTCTTCAGTCTTATTCTGGCTTTCTTTCTTTGCCAAAGCGTCTTCCACTTCCATGCTTTTGAGTCATCAAATAAATCTCCCTGTGCTGTTATGTATATTGTTTGATGTAAAAAAAAAAATCTGGTCACCATTTTTTGGGGAGGACTAAATCATCCCTCTATTTTTCCATCTCAACATAGTTGTCCTGAACTGTTTATCTTCTCTTCAATCTGTTCTTCTTCTTGATCCTCAGGTTCCTTCTGATTTATATAGAAAGTCTTTTCATTTTTCCATATTGTCAGTCCCTTTTCTGGATTTTCTATTAATTGTATTTGTTGATCAGTTGAATCTTCTGTCATAATATTTAATTGTTCCACTTTTCTGTTATATTCTGTGTAGTTGATTTTTTAATTGTAATCAAAGTTTGAGTTCGTATATCTGGACTGACATCTTGTTCTTTTCTGTAACCTCTTATTTCATCAGTAGCTGTAAGAATAGTTTGATGAATTCCTTTGAACATAGAGAGAATCTGTTCCTTATCTTCATCCATATTCTCTTAGTAGTGTATTAGGTTAAAAGCTGTACAATCAGAGAATGCAGAAAAAAACTTTGTCACTCAATATGGAACATAACTCACAGCTGATATCTCAAGGTTACATAAGTATTATCTATTGTATGGGCTACTGGCCAAATCTTTAAGCAATAACAAGTTGTAGTATCAGGTTTAGCCACAAGATGTCACCCCTACCATTTAAAGTTTTCTTTTAAGTCCAAAGTTTTTATAATCTTTTCACTTTTGCTTCTTTTTTATAAGTAAAAGCCCATATCTTCAGTAAAAATATAAAATCTTTTAGTCCACAAACTTTACAAAACAGAATTCCAATTAGGATCAAGCTATTCTTTCAACGTTTTAAACTCCCCTGGATAGTCAGTCGGCACTGTTTCTAGAGGGAGGGATAAAATCTCCCTTCCCTCTCCACAGGGGGAAAAGTACTTTAAGCAGCTTATGCAGGTAAAAAAGATAGTTAGGATTTAAGAGAGGTAGCTCTCACCCAGTCTCATCCATGCTGCTTTATAATTGCCTGGTGGTAAGTGTGACTTCAACTGTCTGCAGCCTAGTGATGAGCCATATTGCTATGGCCAGTCTTTTGTCTGCCAGTTTGGAGGGCTGCCTGGATCGAGCGGAAGGGCTACCACCCTCCCGTGATCAAGCGGGGTCCCCTCCTTGCTGGTCACCCCTAAAGGGCAACTTTTGACCCTTTCCAGGATCCCCAGAGAAGTGAAACTGGATGCAGAAGATGGAGCTCACCTTCCAGACGTCCATGGCAGCCATGGCGGCAAACCAGAAGTTAAAAACACCAAATTTTCTTATCACAATTATAAAATTTGCTGCATGAACAGCAGCAAAATTCTTCTGGGGTTACTCCAGAAAAACAAAATAAACTATAGAAGGAGTTAATATCATATCATCCTTAATCTGAAACTAAAACATTATAAAGTTGAGACAGCTTAGACTGTCATAAATCTGAAAAAGTCAGATTTAGTGCTCATGACTATTTAATTATTGAGCCTGCAAATTAGTTCTCTCGATCCTCCATTATAATAATAAAGACACCTGGGCAATGTCTTTTATTTTATTTTTAAATTTACCCAGCCCCCAATAGGTTATCTATGCAATGAATTGAAACTGTTCCTTTTTAAAAAAAAAAGTCCTTGGGGAAATGACAAGAACAAAATAGATAAAATCTCATGGAAATACAGTACAATATAAAATTTTACTGATGACTTTGGAAGGAGAACAAGAAAAAAAATAAAATAAAAATCTGCATGAATAAAAATGGATGAAGATGGTAAGTCAATTACCTATATTTATTTTGAATTACATATTATTTGTTCCTTTCTTCAATTAAATAAATATTCATATGTCTTCCCTTTCCTTTGCAATTAAAATTCCAACAAAATGCAGATTATATTTATAAGTGTTGGCTGCCTAAATCATTCTTCAGTAACATTTATTATGAAAATAAACAACACCAAAACTTTAAGCATCCTAAATTAATCAAGTAAAGCAAATAATAACTTATCCCATAGTTTTCCCCTTTACCTCCACCTTTAGTAATTGCACAAACAATCTTCAATTATTCAGGTTAATGCGATTTGCTTGACTAAGAAGGATTACCATGGTCTCATGTAATTTAATTTCAATTATTTTCCTGTAATCTATTGATATTTAAAATCTAGGGCTGTATCAGTATGTAAAATGGACTCTTTAAAAACATTTTCATTCACTTGATAAAAAAGCTGACCATACAGAATTCTTAATTCAAATTATGTTGTCAAATAGAATTGAGGTTCTGATTTTAAGCCATTTTTTTTCAGTCTGCAGATAAAGGTTAAAATGACAAGGTCATTCAAATGGTATAACAAATATTGTAATTCAAACCCCCAGTTCATTTAGAGCCATTAATATTTATTTAAAAAATGATGGCTTAAAAATAATGCAACAAAAAATTATCTCCATCTACAAGCAGCAAAATACATAAATATGGCTAATCCCAACCCAACCCAAGTAACTTATTTCTATAACAATTAAAGGAAGGCATTTAGTAGAAATTGTAAGTGTATTCTACTACCTGAACTATGCTGGTTGAAGAGGAATAAACTATTTTAGAAAAGAGAAGCAATCTCAACTATTTTCACATTGACATGTTTGAATATATTTGCATTTATTTCCAATTTCCAGAAGCTTTTATTTGATTTGATGAAAGCAATCTTGTTGCTTTAGGCGCTTACATCTGATTAAGTTAGTGTTAGAAAATGGTTTTAATTAAATCAATAATTTCAAGTATCTCTAAAACCAAGATTATAAAGAAAATCCATAAGAATTGACAGTGGTTAAATATCTGTCAGAGGTATCCTGAATTTTTTAAAAAAACATATTTTCATAATACTCAGAATGTTTCAACATTTTTTTAGAATTAAGTTTTAAGGTAATCTTCACTAAAAGCTAATCCATCCTTCTGCAAATCATTTCAAACTGTACTGAATAGAAAATATTTTAACAATTTTTTTGTCCTATTCTTCTAGGGTGTAATGTTTAAGAATGGATAATGATACTTCTGAGTTTCTTCTCTGGGAATTTTCAAAGATTTGGGAACTACAGATTATGCATGTGGTTTTGCTACTGATACTCTATTTAATGACTGTGACATGGAATCTTCTCATCATCTCAGCTGTTGTTTGTGATCACCATCTTCACACCCCCATGTACTTCTTCCTGATGAATTTAGCCATGCAGGACATTGGCTCAGTATCAGTCATTATTCCTAAAACTCTTTTTAATTTTCTTACAGATTTAAGAAGTATTTCTCATTCTGGCTGTATTGCCCAAGTCCTGTTTTTGTTGTTTTTCCTGAGTTGTAATATTTCTCTCCTCACTGTCATGGCCTATGATCGATATTTTGCCATTTGTAAGCCTTTACATTATGAAATGATAATGAACAGGAAGGCCTGCGCCAAGATCATTGCTGGTGTATGGACTGCCAGCCTTCTTAATGCTTCATTACACACTGTTTTCACTTTTATGACTCCTTTCTGTTCTAATAGTATAAACCAATTTTTCTGTGAAGTTCCATATTTACTTAAGATCGCCTGTTCTGAATTATATGTATCTGAAGGATTTCAAATTTTCAGTGCTATGTTAGCCATTGGTTGTTTTGCCTTTGTCATTGTGAGTTATGTGCATGTCTTCTCAGCAGTTTTGAGAATTCCTTCTGTTCTAGGAAGAAAAAAGGCCTTCTCTACTTGCTTACCGCATCTGGTTGTTTTCTTCATATTTTTGTTTACTTCTTGCCTTGCTTACCTCAGACCTACAGGTGACAGTGAATCACATCCAAACTTCATAATAACAATAATGTATTCCATTATTCCATCTATGTTGAATCCATTAATCTACAGCATGAGGAACAAAGACATCAAGGTTGCTCTTTCAAGACTTTTTGGTAAAAAATATTGTTCTTTTAAGTAGAATATGTTGTACATCTTCTTATTTTCAAATAAGAGAAAGCAAGAGAGATGATACAAATAAGATGCAAATGTACATATTTTCACAACAATTTTCCACTTTCCAATATATTATATAAAGTTCAAAGGGTTTTTTAAATTTATTTATCAGATTTGACTTATCTCTGGTAAGGTTGGAGTTGTGGTGCATTGAATCATATCTGATTGTTAATTACTACAGAGACATACATGTTCAATTTTCTTGCCAGCATTTTAAATAGTAGCTGAGAGAGGAAGTTTCCTGCAAGGATACCCAGTTGGGTAGTGCTGGACCCCTGCTCATTTTTCCCCAGTTCGTTGACTTAACCACCAGATGATACTGTCAGAATACTTAGACAAAAGTTTGTATCCTTTGTTTGATTCCAAAGTGTCAGAGATAATTATCACAACAGTTATTCTGCAAAAGACAGTTAACAGATAAAAAAATTAGAATAGTATGAAATATTGAATTTAATACAACTTTACATATTTCCAATATGGATGTAGTACAGAAAATCTATAAACAATGGATTTATTAGGAGAAAGCATTTGAAAGTAAATAATCCTGTTTGTGTATTTTACAAAAAAAATACACAAATTGTGTTCAAGAATTTCATATGAGAAATGTTTATTGAGGTTTTCATTTTTTTAATATATTTTATTGATTTTTTATAATAACAATCATTAGTACTTGGTAAACAACGTGTTGTCTGGGTTCATATATTTAACAACAATCAATAATAGTTAATTTCTATGATTTCATAATCAATATACTAACTAGAAATACCTTTTCTTGATCTTCTCTTCTTCCAATAATATTCTCCTTTTACCAACATTGAGCAAATATAGTTGTTAGTATTTTCAATACATGTAAAGTTGAATATATATTTTTAATATTTATATGAATAACAATAACATCCATATGTAGCATCTTTTCTAATCAGCTTGTTTTACAAATGCATTTGCAAAAAATCATCTTATGTAAATCACTGTAAGTCCTGTTCTCAGAATTCTTATGTAAGCTTAATTTTCCTACAGTAATCAAAACATTTCTTATCAATTATAATTTTCTCAAAATTGATTATATTTAAATAACCAAAACATTTTGTTTGTTTAATTCATCCCATTATTTTTACATTTCCCGTATCATAAAGTGATACTATACTATTTACAAATCTCTTGCTATAAAATCCATTCATATCCAGAATTTAACTATTCTTTTAACCATATTCAAACAAGTGTTTAGTCATGTAGTACTCTATCTGGTAGGTTAAATCATCTCTCTTGAGTCTAGCTCTCACCTTCTTCTTTTTCCAGGCAGCTCTTTGAATCAGTGTGTTCAGCTTGCCAGGGGATTCTTCCTGTATTTTTATAAGTGTTGTTAAAAATGGAAAAGACATGTTGAGTAAGACGCTTTTGAGGGGGAGTTTCACCCAATTATATTTGTTAAGAAGCTTCCACTTTCCTTCTCCCTCAATTTCTCTTTTCATCTTTTATCCCTCAAACTCTAGTGACAGCTCTATGGTCCATTTTATCAAATCTTTTTTTTCTTATCCTCAGTTTTGTTTTGAAATCCTAAACAATAAAATGTTTTTTATATTTCTGATATTATGGCAAATTCTTGCAGATTTTTCTTTGTCTGTGTTAAACTAATTTTTCTTTGTTTGTAGCTGTAATATATTGAGGAAAGTCTGTGAATTAAGATGCTGAGGACTGTGAAGAAACGGTTAGCTGGCGACGTGGCAAACATGCCAGACTTTCTGTCTTCAAACTACTTATTATGCATTTAAGTGGGAGAATACTGTGTTCCTTTAGGCTGAGTTTATAAGTATGGGTGGAGTATTGGTTGTTCAGTTTCATTTTTGACTTAAAAATAAAGAAAGTTGTTTTTCACCTACTGCCTCTTCAATGTCGCATCAAACCGAATACATAACACTGGCAACAAAGGTGGGATCATGCTGCCTCACCATGAAGAGCTGAGTCACTATGGGAATTAGGCCTAGCAGATGCTTGGTCAGAATGGTGTCCCCCCCACTCACTCTATCCTACCAGTATGGAAACGCTGGAGGAGAGTGCTTCCAAGGATCTGCTCTGGAAGTTCCATGGAAGTCTGCACAGCACGAGACATTGAGAGGCCCGCAAAAAATTCACCATGGCTAAGATCAGAAAACTCTCCAAATTCGACGTCACTCATCCAGAGAAGTGGAACTCCTACATCGCGAGAGTTAAAAATTACCTGCGGGTTAACCAAGTTTGAGACAACGGTATGAAGGCTGCAATGCTGCTGTGTGTGTGTGTGGTCAGGCAACATTTGACATTGCCAAGAACTTGGTTACACCAGCTCTGCTCGAGTCCATTGCATACTCAGAACTTAAGAATATACTCGGAGCTTCCGCTGGGGAGTGACGTTGATGGCGGCTACTTTGTAGCCGTCCTCCTGGGATGGCATCAGATCTGCGGAGCGCAGCGAACATCAGCTGGCCCACGGCTCAGAATCCCCTTCCCGGGCGAAGGGAAGGGGTAGAGATTGCAAGAATAGAGGTAGAACCTCTTAGCCCCCTCTGGATTTTTCTTTTGAGGGGGCAGAAGGAGCATTCCCTCGGAGTTCCTGCTTTCTCTGCCTCCCAGCTGTTTTTGTCTCTTCGGAGACAAAAGGAAACGCCGCTACCATCTCCGCGTTTAAAGTGTTCTGGTGAGTAATATTTAAAGCGGACAGAGCAGTTTAAAGGATTTTTTTTAGTTTAGTATTTTATTTTAATTTTTTTCTAGTTGACTTTGATTCTTTTCCCTTGTTTCTTTTTTGTCGGCACGGAGAGTGAAAGTAAGATGGCGTTCTGAAAGTACTTTATTCTTTTGTTCTTTACTTTTTTTTCCCGGAAAGAAAATATGGACTTAAATGAATACATCTATTGCTTTTAACTTTCTCCTTTATTTTCTGATCGTGTTTTGGGCACTTTTCTTGGCTTTTTTTTTTTAAACTTTAAGAATTTTAGTACTTTTTTTTCTTTTTCCTTTTTCCTTTTAAGAGGAAAGAGAGAGAGGATAATACTTTGAAAAATGGCTTCAAAGAGGCAACCGGCCTCTATACTTTCTAAGGTGGTTTCCTCTCCTACAACTCTAACTGTACAACAACAACTTAAAACTACACCATCAGTACTGCCTCCACCTTCTCCTCCTTTGCCAGGCTTATCTGCACAAGAGATTAAAGATATAATGGGAAATGCTGTATCCCAAATTAGAGATGAAATGAAGCAACTTCTTGAACAGAGCAAATCTGAAAGCAAAGAGGAAATGAAGGATCTTCTTAAACAGATTAAATCTGAAACCAAGGAGGAGATGAAAGACCTCCTTAAACAGAATAAATCTGAAAGTAAAGAGGAAATTAAGCAGCTGTTAGAGGACAATAACACTATCTTGAGGCAAGATATAGTAACAGCTTTATCAGGCCTGGCTTCTGTGGTTGTGAAATTGGATTCTAGAGTGGAGGAGGTCGCAGATAAAGTTGATTTTATTGAAGATAAATTCCAGAATATGGAAAGAAAAGTGGAAATTTCACAAGAGGATATTCTTATGTCCCAGTACAGGGAAATGGAACATGCTTTGAGAATCAGGGGTTTGAAAGAAGATATGAATCAAGATTTGACAGAGATGGTGCTTAATGATCTAGCTTCTGTTTTGAATATGGATAAAGATGAATTACACAGAGAAGTGGAAAAAGTTTATAGAGTTAATTCTTGGATTGTGAAACAAAAGAATTTGCCAAGAGATGTGGTGATTTATTTTACAAAGAGGCCTCTGCGTAATGAAATCATACAAGCTTATTACAATAAGAGATTTCAGATTGCTGCCCAAGATGTCATTATTTTAAAGGAAATTCCATCAAGAATTTTAAGAAACAGGAAAGACTTTGCTTTTTTAGCTAATGAACTTAAAGCAAGATCGATGTCATTCAGATGGGAGATTCTGACGGGTATTGTTTTGAGCCATGCGGGGATGCGTTATAGGCTTAACACGATTGCTAAAGCCAAAGAGTTTTATAATACGGTCCTGGGAGCAGGCTCATCTTTATCTATGATCCAGAAATCTTCGGGCGGCAAAGAGGTGGAACAGCAATCTGAAGGATTAGGTCTGATTTCTGCTGGGAAGTCACAAATGGCATGGCAACATCAAACAGAGGTTAAAGAGCAGAGGATGACCCGTGCAGCACATAGACGCAAGGAAAAGGAACAACAGAAGAAATAACCCAAAGAATCTTCTTCTGAAAGTGCTTCATTGCTGGTGGGAGGAGCAAGACCCAAGAGTTCTGCAACACATTTATCAATGGCAGATCTTCAGGCAGTCTTCTCCAGGCTCCTGGTTAAGGGAGATGGCAAAGTTCCTGACCTGGAATGTTAACGGCCTTAACTCCCCTCAGAAAAGAAAGAAAATCTTTCATTATTTAAAGCAACATAACAATGATATTATCTGTTTGCAGGAAACTCATATTTTACTTAAAGATCAAAAATATTTAGCTAATGCTCGTTTGGGATCTCATTTTGTATCTCCTGCCCCTGGGAAAAAAGGGGGAGTGGTTATTTATGTTAAGCAAAATCTACCAGTTTGTCTGGTAGAATCAGATCCTCAAGGAAGATATGTAATGATTGAACTTGGTTTATATGGTAAGAAAATACTTGTAGTGGGATTGTATGCACCAAATCAGCAACAAGAACAATTTTATAAACTGTTACATCAGAAAATAATTTCGCCGGACTATAGATCTGTGATATTAATGGGGGATTGGAATGGTGTTTTAGATACACAAAGGGACAAAAAAGGTTCCTCTACCCTTTCTAAACAGGCTAAATTACCCAAAGCCTTTTTTGATCTGAAAGAGGACTGGGAATTGAGAGACTATTGGCATGAACGTAATCAAGAGGAGAGAGACTTTACCTTTTTTTCAGATAGACATCAATCTCTTTCAAGAATTGATTTTTTTTATTACAACTGACTTATATAATAGGGTAAAGAACGTAAAATTTTTTCCTAGGTCATTGACGGATCATAGTCCAGTTTGGATAGAGCTGATTTATGAAAAAGAGGAGAGGAGATCCTGGAAGGTGAATGAGAACTTATTTAGACAAGAAAAGAATGTTCAAAAGTTAAAGGAATGTTTAAAGGATTATTTTGCTTTGAATATGTATAAGGGGACATCAACATCAATGGGATGGGATGCAGGTAAAGCTTTTATGCGTGGGATTTTGATAAAAATGAACAATCTTCATAGACAAAAGCAGACTCAGAAGCGTAAGGAACTGGAAGATGAGATTAAATCAAAAGAAAAGTTTTTGATTTTAAATCCTTCAGATGAAAAGGTTAAGGAATCTATAAAGTTCTTAAGAACACAATTTAACATGTTGATCAATCTGCAACTAATTTTTTGTTTATGAAACAAAATACATTTTGTAATGCCAATAAACCAGGGAGATGGTTGGCCTATCAATTAAGAAAGAAACAGAGACAGAGAACAATAGATAAAATAAATTATAATGGTAAATTAGTGTATCAGAAAGAATTGATTAAGAAATCTTTTTAGATTATTATCAAAAATTATATAAGACTACTAATGTACAAATTTTAGATATAAATAAATATTTAAGGGAGGCTAACTTTCCTAAATTGACAGAAGATCAGAAGCAAGAAATTAATGGTCCAATTACTAATGAGGAAATTGTGACAGTTATTAAGCAATTAAAATTAGGTAAAGCGCCAGGTACGGATGGTTTGACACCTATTTATTATAAAAATTTAGTAGAAGAGATGATTCAACCTTTAGGTGAGCTTTTTAATAACATATTGCAGGGTTCAGAGATCCCTCCGTCATGGCGCAGTGCTTTCATATCCTTGATTCCAAAAGAGGATCAAGATCTTACTTTACCAAAGAATTATAGACCTATATCTCTTTTAAATGTAGACTATAAGATTTTTGCAAAAATTGTAGCTAATAGGCTTATGACTGTTGTGCATCAGCTTATACATAAGGACCAATCGGGTTTTATAACTGGCAGGTACATGAAAAATAATGTTAGACAAATTATTAATATATTAGAATATTTAGATAAGAACAACCAAGTCCCTGTAGGGCTGATATTTTTAGATGCTGAAAAAGCTTTTGATCAATTGAACTGGCATTTTATGTTAAGAGCAATTGAGGAGATGAATTTTGGAGAAAAAATATTACAAGCTCTTACTGCTATATATCAAAAACAAACGGCACAACTTATTGTTAATGGGGGTTTGTCAGAGGTTTTTACAATAGAAAAAGGTACTAGACAGGGATGTCCTTTGTCACCGTTGCTGTTTGTTTTAACATTGGAAATTTTGTTGATTAAAATCCGAGAGTCGCAGGAAATAAGAGGAATAGAAGTTAACAAAAAAGAATATAAGTTAAGAGCTTTTGCAGATGACTTGGTGGTTACTTTGTCTCAACCTACTTATTCTGTAGTGAAGTTATTACAGCTGATATATCAATATGGATTAGTTTCGGGTTTCAAAATTAATAATAATAAGACTAAAATATTATCTAAAAATATGACTACTTGTGATAAACAGATTTTGGCTAATTTGACTGGTTTTGAAATATAAGATAAGATAAAATATCTGGGGGTTATTTTATCTGTTTCTAATGTAAAATTGTTTAAGAATAACTATGAAAGGTTGTGGGTCAGAGTACAAAAAGACTTGAAAAATTGGGAGAACTTACAGTTATCTCTCATGGGAAGAATTGCAGTGATTAAAATGAATGTCCTGCCAAAATTTCTCTTTTTATTTCAAATCTTACCTATTTTAAAGAATGAGGTTAATTTAAATGAATGGCAGAAAGGCATTAATAAATAAATACCATTATGGGCTATACC